GGCTGCACAATGCTGCCGTTCAGAGAATGCCTCTTGTATGTAAGATTCTAGGTCTACGATATTATCCAATGTAGATCTGTTTGATCTGAATCCGCCCTGTTCGTGCGCCAGCTGCTTTTTGCTTTCCAAGTTCCACAATAATCTCCGGTTAACAATTTTTTCTAATAGCTTGCACATTGAACACGTTAATGAAATTGGTCTATAGGATTCTGGAACCTGGGGTGGTGCGTTTGGTTTTAGAATCGGTATAACTGTGGCTTTCCTCCATTCGTTTGGAAAAACTTGCTTAGTCCATATTATATTGTAAATTTTTAAAAGTATGCTCATCGCTGAATGTGAGAGGTGCTTTAGGAAAATTGTTGGTATATCATCAGGTCCAGGTGATGTGTTCTTCAATGTAAGAAGTGCCTCGGTTAGTTCCTGTTCTGTAATGGGGTTATTTATTGAATGAAGGGTTTCGCTAATGGGAATTGTTCTATCTGTGTTTCTCTTGTAATTAAGGAATGCTGCGCTATAATTTTGGTCACTGGAATTTTTGAAATATGTTTTGGATAAGGTGTTAGCTATGTCTCTGCTTTGAGTGAAAGTGTGAGTTCCTTTCTTTATCGACCTAATGACTGAATGTGATTTTTTTCCAGACATGCTTTTGATTTTCTTCCAGACTGTGGATACATTGGTGGCATTATTGATGGTTGAAACAAATTTTTGCCATGATAATTTTTGTTCCCTTTTTAAAACAAGTCTTGCCTTTGCACGTTTGTGTTTGAAGTCAGTTAGGTTTTCAACTGTTTTATATCTTCTCATTTTATTCAGAGCTTGCTTGCTTTCTCCTACTGCATGTTCGCATTTTTCGTTCCACCAAGGGACTGGATTCCTTCTCCGTATCACCCTAGTTTTGCCTATGTTTTGGTAAGCAGCTTCTTTGATTAGATTCATAAAGCTTTGAACGGTAGCATCGACGTCATCTGTGATCTCAAAAGTGTTTAGGTTATTATCGATATAAGCAGAAAAAGAGGGCCAGTTGGCTTTTTTTAAATTCCATTTTTCTCTTGGTTGTATATCTGTAATTTCTTTGTTTATATCTTGTATTATTATTGGGAAATGGTCACTCCCATACAAATCGTCCGCGACATTCCATTGTAAATGTGTAATCAGATTAGAGGAGCACATGCTAAGATCAATTGCAGAAAAGCGTCCAGAGGCTGAATCGAATCTTGTACTGCTACCATCATTCAGTAGAATCATGTTAGCATGGTCAATTATATTTTTTATAATATTTCCCCGCGTGTCATTTTTGTATGAATTCCATATGTGACTGTGAGCATTGAAATCTCCTAATATTATCCGTGGTGATGGTATTTGTTGCAGTAATGACTCAAGCTCATTTTCTTCTAAATAATAATTGGGAGGTATATATATGTTACATATGTTGATCTTTGTATCTGATTCGACGGTAATGGCTACAGCTTCTAGATTTGTGGTAAGGGTTATAGGTTTGGCTAATATATCTGATTTTATGTATATTGCGACTCCACCGCTAGCTGTAGTTCTTTCACGGTGTTTGAAAAATCCAGTGTACTGTTTTGGTGTATGCGATTTGGTTTCGTGGAAGTGTGTCTCTTGTAGGCATATAATGTCTGGGTTGAAATCGGAAATTAATTTTAGTAACATATTTAAATGGATATAATATCCATTTAAGTTCCATTGTAGTATTGACTTGAATTTAAAAAGTAGAGTCAATAGATGAAGTATCACTGAGTTGGTCGCTGAGATTTTTTTCAAGATGCCGTTCCATTTTTTTTCGTAATCTCGTACAGCGGTTTTTCAAGGCTTTGTCTGTGATGTGTGGATATATTAGCAGAAGCATCTCGATTAATCCTTTAATATCAGATGTGTGGTCGTTGACGACGGATATTATGTCTTTTGTACCGTGGGTGTTTTCCAATAGACTTTTCAATTGGTCTGAGTTCAGTATGAGTGGCGGGGTTTGGTTGTCGATAAAAGATTTAACAGACTTGAATGTAATTTCTGGTATGTGTGATGGTTGGATATCTATTTTGGGTTTCTTCATAGTTTGGTTTTTTGGAGTAACGAAGATTGGTTCCCCAGAATTTCCAGGCATAAGTTGATTCTCAGTTGAGGGGGACAAAATTTCTGAGAGGCCACGTTTGTTACTAGTTTGTGTGTCTGAATCTGTGATATCGTTGGGTTTTGATTGGGGTTGGTTTGAAGTTGTGGCTGCAGTTGTTTGTGACGCTGAACTTGCTATGTTGGAGTTTGGAGTAGTTAGTACTGACGGTTGTTGGTTGTTTTCAACAGTGAATTGCTCTGATGCTGATGTTTGTGGTGTGGGTGTTTCTGCCTGTGTCGATGGGCATTGAGATGCAATATGACCAGAAAGCTTACATTTGAAGCATTTCTGGCTGTCAAGTGAGAGGAATATACGGTAGGTGAGGTTTTCGTAGGTCATTTCCACAGTTTCTGGAATTATGCTAGGCTCTACAGGCATTATGTATACCTGTCGCCTGAAGCTTAATATATGGCTGTACTCAGGTAAAGTTGCACCTATTCTTAGAAAGGATATGGGAGAAATGAGTTTTACGCCTTTTTGCTCTAGTATGTCTTTCAAGATTTTGTGTGGAATGGTGGGACATACGTTGGATATTACTAATCTATCAGATGGTGTAATAAGTCTGCGAGCCTTTACTGACTCTCCATTAATGATGATTTCCCCAGGATCTTCAAGGAATTTGTCTACAAGTTGCTTGCTGGATAAATAGATACATATCCGATTATTGGATATTCTGGAGCAGAAAAGGATGTTTTTTGGGTCTACTATAGGACCTAGTCTTAGCAGATAATCTTGGATTTTTAGTCCATCGACAGCGTTGAAGATGATGGCTTGCTCTTTGTGTGGGTATTTGGTAGAACTTTGACTTAATATATCAGAGTATGATTTTGCAGAGTTGGTATTTTGTGATGTGTTTGGCGAATTCATGACTGTTTTATTATTTTATCAGGCAATTTGAAGTTGTTATATCCTGCGGCATCCCTGAATACGGTCCTGTCCACCGAATTCGGTTTGTTTTGGTGCGCGATTTATACAGACGCAACCAATGGATGGAATTCCGATGGCCTAGGAATTTGCAGATTGTCGTGTTGTATTGTAGAATTGAAGGCTGGTACTCACAGTCTATGATGGCTTCAATATTGGCAGGTAGATAACTTACACACTGGATTTTAATACGGCGTATTTCACTACTTTTGCTTGATTGTATCCGAGCACGATTCACTGGTTGCATGCGGCAAAGCGATCAGGAACGGACTCCCACGTATTTTATTGTTTATTCTATTTTTGATGTTTTTAAATTCAAAGATGATAGTTAAGCCTTCTGGTTGGTTAATCTTTCTTTTATATAATTTATCTCTTTTTTGATAAGCTCAAGGACTTCATTATTTATCCAGGTGTTATTTGTACGTATTCTTAATTTTTTTATATATACCGATTTACTTTTGCAGTCTTCAATTAAATTAATTAATTCTTGAAAAGTTGTTACATTTTTGCTTAAAATTTTTTGTCTAAATAGGTTTACACATTTTTTATAATCTACAGATTTTACCTCATAATCAACTTTTGGTTTATGGAACTGCACAGATGTTTTAGTATCAAGTGATATAAGTTTATGATCCGAAATTGCATTTTCTTTAACACTGACTCTACAACTTTACTATGCCATTTAAGAAAAAGGAACATTCGTCGGAAAAGCAAGTGTTGAATATAAAATGTTCATCGTTTATAATTCGTTCACTCATATCTTCATAAAATTGTAATCGCCGATTAAAATCGTCTTCATTAAGTTCTTGTACCAGGTGAATTTTATACGGATGAAAACTATGGGCCTTTAGAATCCGTTGGACAGTACGTCGACTAACACCACACACAGTCTCCAATTTGCGGGTACTTAACGTACGATCTACATAAACTTGCCCTAAAACCCACAATTCTATTGCTTCGTTCCTTATGGGATTTTCAATGTTGCGTTTTTTATTGGCGACTGACCCAGTTTTTTGAAATTTAGCTACAAGTTCTAGAACATATTTTCGATGCACGTTACTGTTCTTATGTCGCTCATTAAATATTTCTGCTGTTCTATTAGCGCACTGATTATTTCCGAAAAATATTTCGATAATTTCAACTCTTTCTGCTGTGGAATATACCATGGTTAATTTATGTAAAATAAAGCGTTAAAAGTTATTTTAGCAACAAAGTTTGGTCAAATCAATCGCAAACTGTGTACTAAATTCCTATTTAATCAAGTACGAGATATTTCCGTATCTTTCTTCAAGAAATAACTTTTTTGCCACAAAAGACGCTCCAATAGCTATTTTCAACAACAAAATGATAAACAAACCATGTGCGTAGTGAAGAAAAGCATTTACTTATTAAGTAAATTCTTTTAGTCAAATTTATTCTGAAACTACAAACACAACACACACAAACAAACTAATCTGATGTACCTATGAAAGTCTACTTTGAGCTTTAAATCAATAAATCTTCAAAACTACTGAACTGAAGTTTATGTATTTTACATCATTATAAAGGCAATTGAAAGACCTTCCAAATAAGGCATCACTCGACCCCCCTTTCCATTTAAGATTTTAGGGTTGGTGTCACCCCCGCCCAGAGGGCTGCACGTGGTAACGTGATTTTTTGCCAAACTTGTGTCCCCCTCGAAAACAAAATCGACGGGTCTGAGCGTTTTTCCAAAAAAAAAACTGAGCTGCCAATAAATGCGTCGATGCGCCACCCTGTACTGTTTGGGCTCGGATTGGATGTGAAAAAATGGCGGACGTGAACAATATCAAACATCATGCACTTTCACCTTTTTTGAAACATCCACGCGAGATGTGATAAACAAATGAGTCTCTATACCACGTGAAAGTGATAAGAAAAAGGACGACTGATCGGTCAGATTTCGTAGATGGACATTAAAACTTACACTGAGGAGGATGCCTCTGGTAACTCTAAACATCCTACACCCTGTTAAAACTGCACTGTCGAACTCGATTTGACCCAAAAATCGGCGAATCTGAAAAATTACATTGGATTAGTGATTATTGACATTTGAACCAAAAGGGCATCTTTATCGGGAACAGCTTCTATTTAATAGGTATATCCGATTCCACGAGGGTCGTGCGATAAGTTCTAAGCCTCACCGCTTGATGGCGAATCGGATTCGTAGTTATGTTTTGATCGCAAGCGAAAAAGGAAGCAATGTTCTTTGATATTATCTTTTATTACTTAATCACTTGTTTCACATTGATCAAGGAACTTAATGTTCAAGTTTGATGATAAAAGAACTAAGCTTGTTCGGCTTGAAAGTTTACGCTACTATACCTCTGTGTTATACGAAGATGAAGATACAGAGTTCAATGAACACAAAGGTTCCTTGCTTTCGTCGTTCACCCAAGCAGCATATAAAGACAAGTAGATAATTTTCACAACCAAATAGAAATACGATAATACAAAGTATGTCTTTGATATCACTCCTTTAGCTTTCCTACAAGTCAATAGACATTTGTAACGAAATCAATGAAGTGTTTTTAACTCACTTTAAGGTCTCATATACTTGAACTAAAATGAAAAATACATTCGTACTGAATGTCAGTAGAACAATGTAAGATATTCGTTCATCCAGTCGCCTGCAAAGTACGGTAAGTCTGTTGTAGTCTTCCCTGACGTCTATCCAAAATGATTCAGGCTTTAACTGGAACATATAATCGAACTTTTATAAGAGGAAACGATCATTTTCATTTGACGTTTGAGACGTAAGCGTCCATGTGTTCTTACTGCTAATACTAAGTGACATATAAATCCGAACACCCAGTTAAAATGGTTTTATTTTAATAAGAGGTGGTGAATGTATTTATCGTACTGTAGGTAACAAGTGAAAAAATTTTCAGCCTTATCAGTTGGACATTCCGGTTTTTATACTGCTTTTTTTTGATTCACTAACGCTCTAAAAATGAATATTTCAGCCGCAGTAAAGAATCAACGTTGGCGGATTTTGGTTCTTGACATCCTTTACGATCGGTTACGATGCCCAGAGTACGGAGACCTGTACGATTTCGTCAACTTAGTGAGTTTGATAGGGGCCGTACAGTGGGACTTCGGGAAGCTGGACTTTCTGTTCGGGCAATTGCAGTTAGAGTGCAAAGAAGTGTAGACACTGTGGTTAGGTGTTGTCAGGCATGGTTTTGAGAAGGCCGTACGCAAAGAGCAAGGGGCACTGGACGCCGCCGTAGAACAACAGACCGCGAAGATCGCCGCCTAAGATTATTGGCCTTAAGGGACCGTTTCTCCACAACCAGGTCCATTGCCAATGAATGGTTTGCAGAACACGGAAGGCCTATTGGCATGCGAAGTGTTTACCGACGAATGAGAAGTTTTGGTTTGTTTTGATACCGGACACACTGGGTCCTCCCTTTAACTCGAGAACACCGACGTAATCGCCTTGAGTGGTGCAGACAACGGTCACTCTGGGATCAGGAATGGAACAGTATTGTCTTTAGTGACGAGTTTCGATTTTGTTTAGGCATGCACGATGGTCGTTGCCAGGGTTAGAAGGCGACGTGGTGAAAGGAGGAACCCACAGTCTTTTGTTGAAAGACATGTTCATCACTCTGTTGGAGTTATGGTTTGAGGTGCTATAGCTTATGGATCCAGGTCACCTTTAATCTTCATCAGAGGTAACATGAACGCGCAGCGTTATATCGAAGTTCTAGAACCCCATCTTTTACCCTATCTTGACACCCTGGCAGATCCAACTTTCCAACAAGGTAATGCCCGACCACACGTTGCAAGAGTCACAATAGACTTCTTTCAACATAATGATGATTCAGATTCAGATTCAGATTCATTTATTGATCCAGTTGGATCTACATTGTAGACATTGGATAAGTCTGTGTATACAGATTAAAATATAGATAAAAGGAAGTAAAATACAAATAACAATATAATAAATAAGAACATAAAAAACCATATGATACACACATGGCAAAAAATTATTTGTTAAGATCTATCAGAAGCACTGTGGAATGTGACAAATTCACCTAGGTCATAAAAACCGCAGTCCGATAGCTTGTCCCGCAAACGTCTTTTGAAAAGACCTACGGAGTTTACGTTTTTGATCTCCGGAGGTAATAAATTAAAAAAGTATATTCCTGCTGTTATGGGAGATTTTGAATGAAACGTATGATATGACAATGCCTAACTATATTATTTTTATTACGAGTGCTGTAGTCATGGATGTCAGTATGCTTAAGATAATCATTTCTGTGCTGAAAAATATATGTTAAAAGATTATAAAGATATATACATGCTACTGTAAGTATTTTGTGTTTAACAAATATCTCACGACAGGAGGATCTGGACCGTATTTTAAATATAATGCGAATGATTCTTTTTTGTAAGACAAACACTCTAGAGATTTCACTAGCCTGGCCCCACGCAGTAATGCCATATGAAATGACAGAGTGTACACATGCATAGTAATGCTGAGGTGTTTAACATCCTCCCTAGCGTAAGTATTAAATACAGACTTTTTCCTAGTTTCTTACATACGGAATCGATTTGCTCTGTCCATCTTAAATTGCAATCAAAGCTTACAACTAAAAAAACAGTTTTTTTGGAAGTTACAACTGTCTTGCATTGAAGACTAAAATTAAAATTTGACGGAATTTTTGGTTTCATAAAATATTCAACTGAAACGATCTTTTTTGTATTCATTACACTGATTAACAGCCAAAAAATATCCTAAATAAAATCAACAGAACATTACTATTTTTAATATGCTAAAACCGGAATGAAACTTATTTTTTCAATATTAGTTCAAGTTTTAGAGATACGGTAATTATATACATACATACGTGTACATTATATTGTTATATATTAGCCATTTTTTCCTCAGTTGGCTGACAGCGTTCATGCAAGATGTCTCGAAAGTGTGTAAACAATCCAGATCAGTTTTGTTACGTGTGTGGTGATGTGACTTTTGCGTCTCAGAGAAGGTCTATTACTCCACTAATAACAAAGGCATATCAGCTTTATTTCAGTTGTAAACTAGGTGATCAAGACAAACAGTGGGCACCCCAGATCTGCTGTAATACATGTGCTTCAAGTCTGAGGAGCTGGTTAAATGGCAAAAACCGGTCTATGCGCTTTGCTGTCCCAATGGTTTGGAGAGAGCCTACAAATCATATTAATGATTGTTATTTTTGCATGGTACCTTGTGTTGGACAAGCCACGGGTATGTCCAAGAAAAAAAATCGGTTATTAACTACCCAAACATACCATCTGCGATGAGACCTGTGCCTCACAGTGACGAAAATCCTATTCCTAAACCCCCAGAATCCTACACTTGCGAATCAGAAAACGAATCAGATCATGGCGATCGAGTGATTCGTCAGGAAGAAGATATGCCATCAACGTCAAGAGATCCTGATTTTATACCGAGCACGTCATGCCATCAACCGCACAAAATAACACAGTCAGAATTAAATGATCTTGTAAGAGACTTAGAACTTCCAAAATGTAAGGCAGAGTTACTTGGATCAAGACTGCAGCAGTGGAACTTGTTGGAAGACAATGTTTCGGTATGTGTTTTTCGTAAACGCCACAAAGACTTGGTTTTCTGCAGTAACATTAACGGCTTACTGGCGGCTTCAAATATAAACTATAACTCAGAAGAATGGAGATTGTTTATAGACAGATCAACATTGAGTTTAAAGGCAGTGTTTTTGCATATTGGAAATATTTTACCATCTCTTCCTGTAGGGTATGCAGTTCACATGAAAGAATCATATGACAATATGAAGTACCTATTGACATGCATAAAATACGATGAGCACCAATGGCATATTTGTGGCGATTTGAAAGTTGTTGCACTTTTACTTGGGCTGCAGCTAGGCTACACAAAGTTTTGCTGTTTTTTGTGAATGGGACAGTCGGGCAAAGACACTTCATTACACCAGGCAAAACTGGCCTGTTCGTCAATTCCTAGAGCCAGGTCAAAAAAATGTACAGCATATGCCATTAGTAGATTCGAAAAAAATTTTATTACCACCACTGCATGTCAAGGCATTAGATAGAGATGGTTCAGCTTTTCAATACCTGCGTCAGAAATTTCCAAGACTAAGTGAGGCAAACGTTAAAGAATGTATTTTTGTTGGGCCACAGATTCGAAATATTTTGAAAGATACACAGTTTGAAAACACTTTAACAGGTATTGAAAAAACTGCTTGGAATGATTTCCGTCTGGTGGTCACTAATTTCTTGGGAAATAGAAAAGCTGACAACTATAAAACCCATGTCAAAAATATGCTGTCATCGTATCAAAAGATGGGCTGTAATATGTCTCTTAAGATACATTTCCTACACTCACACCTGGACTTTTTTCCTGACAATTGCGGAGCCGAAAGTGATGAGCACGGCGAACGTTTTCATCAGGATATTTCAACAATGGAAAAAGGGTACCAGGGAAAGTGGAATCCTTCCATGCTTGCAGACTACTGTTGGACTCTTGGTAGAGATGCTCCAGAAACGATCCATAAAAGAACAGCAAAAAGACAGCGTATATAGTGATTCTTATAAGTATATGAATCTTGTTACTTTTTTTAATATATCTTTAAAAATAAAAAGTTTTTTTTCTAAGCCGCAACTAATTTTTTTATTTCATTGTCATTTTTGGATTCAGCGCCCCAAAATTAACAAAGAAGTGCACTTTTCCCACAAGATACAATTAAAAAACTAAAATTTGTTGTCCAGTGTTATTAGTCTGTTTTTGAAGCACCATTGACTGAACTCATTAACCGAATCAGTAATTTTTTCTTGAAGACGATCTTGCGATGAGTCAGCTAAAATGATATTTGTGTCGTCTGCATACAAAAGTAATTTTCCGTAGGATAAGTGTGCAGGCAAATCATTTATGAAAATCGAGAAAATAAGTGGTCCAAGGACGCTACCTTGAGGTGTGCCCCAATCTAAATTGAATTCATCAGATTTTTTATTAGCGACAGTAACATAAAATTTTCTATTCTCTAAAAAGCCATTGATTCAAACATCCGCGAATGCCAACATGATGAAGTTTATCGGCCACAAATGACGAACTTACACAATCAAAGGCCTGAGACAAGTCAAATTGGATACTCACTACGTAATTACCTAAATCAAGTTTATCACAAACATACTGAACATACTCGATAATGCTTGTTTCAGTTGAGTAGCCTGCCCTGAAACCATGTTGAGCATATGTGATAATAGCAAATTTAATAAAGTAATTCTCAATTTTCATTGCAACCACTTTTTCAATGATTTTCGGGAAAATACTTAATAGCGCGATTGGCCTATAGTTTTCAACATCACAATTTTCACCTTTTTTAAATATCATAATTGACGATGCCAGTTTAAGAGATGTTGGAAATTTACCAGCAGCAACCGATTCATTAATGATGTCTGCTAATACTGGGGCAAAGATATCCATGTTCTGTTTTACTAAATATATTGGAATTTCATCAGGCCCTGTAGATTTCTTGTCTGGCATATTACTTATCACAAATATAACATCAGCAGTAGTGAGATGGGTGAAAAACATTGATGATGTCACATTGTTACCATGGCCACCAAGATCTCCCGACTTATCCCCAATTGAGCACGTGTGGGATATGATGGGTAGGAGATTGCTCAATTTGCAACGTCCTCCTCAGACTCTAGAAGCACTTCGAGAGGAGTTGGTGGTTGCCTGGTATGAGATACCACAGGAGGACATTGACCACCTGATCAGAAGCATGCCTAGGCGCATTGGAGAATGCGTAGCACATCAGGGTGCATCCACACATTATTAAAGGTCAAAGGGCTTTAAAGCAGTGCAATCATTTTGAAATTTCTATCATTTACTTATTATGCTTCATTAAGTACTTTTACAAAATTTTATTAAAATAAAACCATTTAAACTGGGTGTTCGAATTTATATGTCACTTAGTATACATATAAAAAACAAGTCGTATATTCCACCAAGTCTGAGACTATCGATGGTGATCAGAGGACGCACACCATAATACGCAGCATAGTGTGCATACCTTTTTGTAATTCCGCTCCAGCTTCTTTGTAATCTGCCGATATCTTAAGGCTAAGGATGAGGTCAATATTATAATGAATGCGTCATTATACGGAAATGTAAGATAAGCATGTATCGTAAGAATCTGTGAAAAAGAAAATTAGTAACTCAGCTATGACGACAACAATTTTCGATATATAATTTTCTTACACTACAGAAGGTTCCAGTGAAATAGTTCACAGGCAATATATGGAACAGTTCTGGAAACAGTTCTTCGTAATATTTAGTGTAGGTGTAGTTTTCTTTAAGATCAAGCTTCAAGGATTCACATCTAGCAACCAGTCCCATCGTCCAGTCCACTAGAATTGAAGATGAAGAATATGATAGTAGGTAAGCTTTACCAGCGGTGCGTTTGTAAATCACTTGGTAATGTAATACCGTACATAGTAATAGAATGTAGATTTACAGATGAAATTTCACTTTGGAATACTGTGAAACTTTATTTTTAGAACGCCTAAATTATTACAGAGTCATCTAATGACACTTGATGACAGCTGACTAATTTCTAACCATGTTTTTTGCGATCATTGTACTTATTATGAGAGACCCTACAGTATATTCAGATAAGAGATAGACCGGATGTAAACAAAAGGTTCGGGTGATTTTCGCGCTAACGCCGCCGTCTCGACGTAAAACAGGAGCCCTCATTGGTCAATTCGCAATTAAATGCCTATGCCGAGCGGCAGAGCAGTCGTATCAAGGCAGAGTCACATTCAGGTTTAGACGTGTTACGTATGTCGTGTGCATCATTGCAATTTGATATTTCTTTGGACGTTTTCGTTTGTTATCTTATTAAGTTGTTGAGTTTGTCGTTGTTATTGTTATACCTTGTTATTGATTGTTATTGTTATCAACTGCTTGCGCAAAATGCCCAGTAGTACAGATACTGCCGATGAAGTTGTAAACTCCTGTAGTCCACCTAGGAAACGCTCTAAAAAAGACACCTGAGTGCAGAAATGAAAGAGGTCATTTTGAATATATATAAGATCGAGCGCGAGGAGAACGAGGCATCAACCATCAAAGAAATTGTTGTGAAGGTTTCTCACAAAGTTGGGGTGTGTCGCGCATCAGTGTTTAATGTGTTAAGACAATACAAAAAAAATCACACCTTTTCTGAGCCAATGACCAGTAAACATCGCAAAAGTATTGTTAAATCATTGGATGAAGCTGATAAGCATGCGATTAGGAGGAAAGTGCATGAATTCTTCTTTAGGAATGAAATACCTACTATAGATAAAGTACTGCAGGAGGTAAATGGAGATACAACGTTGCCAAATTTCAAACGATCAACTTTCCATGCGTTACTGAAGCATTTAAATTTCAAATGGAAAAAACGGGGTCGTAATAGTTTACTACTGGATAGAGAAGAAATTGTGCTATGGAGGAGGGATTATTTAACAAAAATTGGGAAATATAGAAATCAAAACAGGAAGATTGATTACCTTGATGAAACGTGGGTAAACGCAGGACACACTACAAGTAAAGTATGGGTTGATGATTCTGTAACTTCATCCAGGAGGGCCTTTCTAGATGTACTGTCCACCGGATTAAAAAATCCAGCAGGTAAATACGAGTAATAGACAACAATCGGATGTTTTTCAAACCTTGGGAACAAGGTTCTAAACATTAATTCCAGGGGGCAGATAAAACATATTACAAGTAACAAAACTTTTATAACTTTCGATAAAATGCGTGGATGTTTTATTGTAATTTTCATTTGTTAGAACTTTTTTAAGCCATGTTTTTATGTGTTTTCGATATTTCAATAATTTTTTAATATAATCTTAAAATATGTCGAATATTATAAACTTAAGAAAAGTTACTAAGTTTTATATTGTGTACCGTTCCTAATATTTCTAATCATTTTAATTCATACTTTAAGCTTTATAAAGTTATAATTTGTTAATATTAATATTTGCGCGTATTTCAGGTTCCTGATCATTCATTTTTGAAAGGTTTATAACTTTAAATTAAATTGTGAAGCCCTGAGTAATCATACGACGTTCAATATTCTTTCTTTCAATATGACTAAATAATCCCAATTATAGCAATCTGATACTCATGTCTCAATGTTTTTTCGCTGAATGTGATGAAAACATTTGAAAAAGGTTCGCTTATTGAAATAAATCTACACCAGTTAGTACTTCGATTTCCAGGTAAAGGGAAAAGGCTCATTATCTGCCATATTGGCAGTGAGGATGGATTTGTTGTTGACGGTCTGTGGTGCTTTGAGTCTAAGAAAACTGGAGATTACCACGAGGAAATGAATGGCGAATCGTTTGAACAGTGGTTTTCAAAAATTTTACCGAATTTAGAGGAAAACGCAGTAATTGTGTTGGATAATGCGCCTTATCATTCTCAAAGAATGGAGAAGGTCCCAACAACGGCTTCAAGGAAAGTTGATGTTCAAAATTGGCTCCGCTCGAAAAATATCAACTTTGAAGAAGCAATGCTGAAAGTACAATTATTAAGAATTGTCAAGGATCACAAGGCGGAATATCAAAAATACGCCATTGACGAAATGGCAGCAAGTCAAAATAAAACTGTGCTCCGTTTACCTCCATACCATTGCGAGCTTAATCTCATTGAGCTCATATGGGCAGAGGTTAAAAATTATATAGCTAAGCACAATACAACTTTTAGATTTTGTGACCTCAAAGGACTTTTCAAAGAAGCACTAGAATTAATAACAGCGCAAAAATGGGAAAACTGTATTAAGCACGTGAAAGACAAAGTTGAAAAGAGAATGTGGGAACTGGACAATATTTTAGAGGAACAAGTCGAGCCATTCATTATTGACGTTGGTGCTTCAGGCAGTAGCGTTGATGAAAGCTCATCAAGCTCATCTTTCCAATAAAAGATGTCGTTCATCAAATTCGGTAAGTTATAAGTAATTATAAAGCTACTGTATTTTTTAATTAATTATTGACATTTTTGAACCCATTTTGGCAAAACCTATTCAAGAATCTACTTTCTGACAATGTTCAACCATGCACATTTTTTTACGTTTTGAACGTTTTAATTTGGTTACATATTTACCTAGAAATCAAAAAATATACTAATCAATATTCTAAAAGCATTTTTAAGAGATATACGATTATTTTTAATTTAGGCTAATTTAAACGCCATTTTGAGATTATATTCGACTGTATTTCACCAAACATCAGGCGGCATCCGAAGCTGGAAATCGAAGCGAAAATTTTGAAACCCTTATATATATTTACATCATTATATATTTCTTACCCCACCCCCAAATGATCCTATATCCATCACCAATCGTATACACATCGAATTGTGCTAATTTACTACAAAGTTACGCAAAGCAGCATCTACTTTCTAAAATATGTACTGCGTGACTCTTAATACGTCCCTGCCGAATGTTACAGCGTTCGATGATCACATCTTGTTTATGTTTGGTCTATCTCTTATCTGAATATACTGTAGTTCCTCAAATTTTAATATCAGCATTTTTTAAGGCATGCGTCGATTCATAGCCACTTAAACGAAAAAGAAAAAGTAAAATCTACTGACCAGACGATACAGACTCAATGTTTTTGGGTTCGCTCATTCTGAATCCGGGGTTATTTTGACCCCAACGTCTCAGGGTCAAGGTCATTTCAATGTCAAATTAAATTCAATCGAATTTCATATAAACTGAAACCACGGTTGGAAAGAACATGTTCACTTTCAATGCGGTATAGATCTTAGGTGCATACGTGAAAACAGTCAATACGGAAAACAATAATTGAAAAACTCTAAATATTGTGCGCAAGTTAATGGAAATCTGCAAAACCATTGCTAGGTGGCGATCGTTTTTGCGGTAGCTAAATCCGAATCCGAGTTCGCTTCTCAGGTTCAAGGCCATTTCAAAGCCAAATCTGCAAAATTGACGGCAACCAAATTTGGGATCGGTTTGAATTATTCATCATGAAGATGAAAACTTATAGTGTTGATCAATTTTATATTATACTAAGTGACATATAAATCCGAACACCCAGTTTAAATGGTTTTATTTCAATAAAATTTTGTATAAGTACTTAATGAAGCATAATAAGTAAATGATAAAAATTTCAAAATGATTGCACTGCTTTAAAGCCCTTTGACCTTTAATAATGTGTAGATGCACCCTGATGTGCTACGCATTCTCCAACGCGCCTAGGCATGCTTCTGATCAGGTGGTCAATGTCCTCCTGTGGTATCTCATTCCAGGTAACCACCAACTCCTCTCGAAGTGCTTCTAGAGTCTGAGGAGGACGTTGCAAATTGAGCAATCTCCTACCCATCATATCCCACACGTCCTCAATTGGGGATAAGTCGGGAGATCTTGGTGGCCATGGTAACAATGAGACATCATTATGTTGAAAGAAGTCTATTGTGACTCTTGCAACATGTGGTCGGGCATTATCTTGTTGGAAAGTTGGATCTGCCAGGGTGTCGAGATAGGGTAAAAGATGGGGTTCTAGAACTTCGTGGATATAACGCTGCGTGTTCATGTTACCTCTGATGAAGATTAAAGGTGACCTGGAACTATAAGCTATAGCACTTCAAACCATAACTCCAACAGTGTGATGAACATGTCTTTCAACAAAAAACTGTGGATTCCTCCTTTCACCACGTCGCCTTCTAACCCTGGCACGACCATCGTGCATGCCTAAACAAAATCGAGACTCGTCACTAAAGACAATACTGTTCCATTCCTGATCCCAGAGTGTAAGTCCAGCTTCCCGAAGTCCCACTATACGTCCCCTATCAAACTCACTAAGTTGACGAAATCGTACAGGTCTCCGTACTCTAGGCATCGTAACCGATCGTAAAGGATGTCAAGAACCAAAATCCGCCAACGTTGATTCTTTACTGCGGCTGAAATATTCATTTTTAGAGCGTTAGTGAATTAAAAAAAAGCAGTATAAAAACCGGAATGTCCAACTGATAAGGCTGAAAATTTTTTCACTTGTTATTTACAGTAAGATAAATACATTCACCAACTTTTATTAAAATAAAACCATTTAAACTGGGTGTTTGGATTTATATGTCACTTGAAGGTCAGTCTTTTTTGAAAAAGAACATTCCAACCCTGAAAACATGCTGTATACCTGAGCCGCAGGTTATTGCTACAGCCATACACATCTTCATCCGTCTACTCAATGAATCTAGATGTCCGTAACTTTTGTTCATGATATCGTCCATTTTGGTCCACGCTGACATCAGTTCTGGCCAATGTTTGGCCAGTCTGAGATGAAGAATTAACGTTACCAAAGATCCAACGTATGTCACGTGTGTTACTGAAAATAGATGTATATTTTTTTAAGCGATAATCACCGCCTATAGAAGTCAAATTATGTGTAAGTCCCCAAATATCAATGGCCTAAAAAAGTGTATCCTGCTGCCTTTGGAAATTGACAGAATCTAAAGACATTCAAGAATCTCTGTGAAAACTATTTATTTGAAGTGAAAATAAATAACAAACACGGCTATTCTCTAAGGCCTGGTTTTGGCTTTAACATTATTTTTGACACAACATATCAATGCTATCCCTCCTAAGCAACAAATTCTATACACAGCTTTACGGATGACAGCACTTTGCATATAGGCTTTCAGAGTGTCAGACTGATCTCTAAGTCTGAGCTGGAGGACGTCAGACTTGGAGGCTATTATTGCTTCACTATACTTACTATATATTTAATAGATAAGGGTACATATTTTGAAAGTTCCACACCCAATCTATAAAAATCATTAACTATAGAGCATACAAACCAATTCCTTCAAAAGAACAGCTAGTTGTCACCCAAGCCATGTAAGAGCAACTCAACACGACGATAAAAGCAGCTATCATCAATATCGTGTAAGCTGTCCTGAGACTCTTCCATTTGAACTTCATCTTATTCAAATTCCCAACATTTTCCAGCGGAAGCGCTCCCAGCGCTTGAGAAAAATACATGAACACCTTCATCGTGTTAAAGAGATTATTTTCCTTTTCATTGTCTTTTCTCTTCTGCTTATTGGCTTCCGGAAATTTTTCTTTTGGGATTACGTACACCATGACTGACGCCACTTGTTTTTCTGATAACAAATGCACGCGCTCAATCAAATAGTCAATATAACGTGTACTCGTTTTGGAGTGCATGTCGCACAGTTCGCTTTCTACACGTGTGAAAAATGGGGTATTTGAAAATAATGAAGGGGTTGGCGTTCGTATCCGGTATCGGATTTTATCGAAATACAGTATATTCAGATAAGAGATAGACCGGACATAAACAAGACCACGTGATCATCGAACGCTGTAACATTCGGCAGGGACGTATTAAGAGTCACGCAGTACATATTTTAGATAGTAGATGCTGCTTTGCGTAACTTTGTAGTAAATTAGCACAATTCGATGTGTATACGATTGGTGATGGATATAGGATCATGTGGGGGTGGGGTAAGAAATATATAATGATGTAAATATACATAAGGGTTTCAAAATTTTCGCTTCGATTTCCAGCTTCGGATGCCGCCTGATGTTTGGTGAAATACAGTCGAATATAATCTCAAAATGGCGTTTAAATTAGCCTAAATTAAAAATAATCGTATATCTCTTAAAATTGCTTTTAGAATATTGATTAGTATATTTTTTGATTTCTAGGTAAATATGTAACCAAGTTAAAACGTTCAAAACGTAAAAAAATGTGCATGGTTGAACATTGTCAGAAAGTAGATTCTTGAATAGGTTTTGCCAAAATGGGTTAAAAAATGTCAATAATTAATTAAAAAATACAGTAGCTTTATAATTACTTATAACTTACCAAATTTGATGAACGACATCTTTTATTGAAAAGATGAGCTTGATGAGCTTTCATCATCGCTACTGCCTGAAGCACCAACGTCAATAATGAATGGCTCGACTTGTTCCTCTAAAATATTGTCCAGTTCCCACATTCTCTTTTCAACTTTGTCTTTCACGTGCTTAATACAGTTTTCCCATTTTTGCGCTGTTATTAATTCTAGTGCTTCTTTGAAAAGTCCTTTGAGGTCACAAAATTTAAAAGTTGTATTGTGCTTAGCTATATAATTCTTAACCTCTGCCCATATGAGCTCAATGGGATTGAGCTCGCAATGGTATGGAGGTAAACGGAGCACAGTTTTATTTTGACTTGCTGCCATTTCGTCAATGGCGTATTTTTGATATTCCGCCTTGTGATCCTTGACAATTCTTAATAATTGTACTTTCAGCATTGCTTCTTCAAAGTTGATATTTTTCGAGCGGAACCAATTTTGAACATCAACTTTCCCTGAAGCCGTTGTTGGGACCTTCTCCATTCTTCGAGAATGATAAGGCGCATTATCCAACATAATTACTGCGTTTTCCTCTAAGTTCGGTAAAATTTTTGAAAACCACTGTTCAAACGATTCGCCATTCATTTCCTCGTGGTAATCTCCAGTTTTTTTTAGACTCAAAGCACCACAGACCGTCAACAACAAATCCATCCTCACTGCCAATATGGCAGATAATGAGCCTTTTCCCTTTACCTGGAAATCGAAGTACTAACTGGTGTAGATTTATTTCAATAAGCGAACCTTTTTCAAATGTTTTCATCACATTCAGCGAAAAAACATTGAGACATGAGTATCAGATTGCTATAATTGGGATTGTTTAGTCATATTGAAAGAAAGAATATTGAACGTCGTATGATTACTCAGCGCTTCACAATTTAATTTAAAGTTATAAACCTTTAAAAAATGAATGATCAGGAACCTGAAGTACGCGCAAATATTAATATTAACAAATTATAACTTTATAAAGCTTAAAGTATGAATTAAAATGATTAGAAATATTAGGAACGGTACACAATATAAAACTTAGTAACTTTTTTTAAGTTTATAATATTCGACATATTTTAAAATTATATTAAAAAATTATTGAAATATCGAAAACACATAATAACATGGCTTAAAAAAGTTCTAACAAATGAAAATGACAATAAAACATCCACGCATTTTATCGAAAGTTATAAAAGTTTTGTTACTTGTAATATGTTTTATCTGCCCCCTGGAATTAATGTCTAGAACCTTGTTCCCAAGGTTTGAAAAACATCCAATTGTTGTCTATTACTCGTATTTACCTGCTGGATTTTTTAATCCGGTGGACAGTCCATCTAGAAAGGCCCTCCTGGATAAAGTTACAGAATCATCAACCCATACTTTACTTGTAGTGTGTCCTGCGTTTACCCACGTTTCATCAAGGTAATGAATCTTCCTGTTTTGATTTCTATATTTCCCAATTTTTGTTAAATAATCCCTCCTCCATAGCACAATTTCTTCTCTATCCAGTAGTAAACTATTACGACCCCGTTTTTTCCATTTGAAATTTAAATGCTTCAGTAACGCATGGAAAGTTGATCGTTTGAAATTTGGCAACGTTGTATCTCCATTTACCTCCTGCAGTACTTTATCTATAGTAGGTATTTCATTCCTAAAGAAGAATTCGTGCACTTTCCTCCTAATCGCATGCTTATCAGCTTCATCCAATGATTTAACAATACTTTTGCGATGTTTACTGGTCATTGGCTCAGAAAAGGTGTGATTTTTTTTGTATTGTCTTAACACATTAAACACTGATGCGCGACACACCCCAACTTTGTGAGAAACCTTCATAACAATTTCTTTGATGGTTGATGCCTCGTTCTCCTCGCGCTCGATCTTATATATATTCAAAATGACCTCTTTCATTTCTGCACTCAGGTGTCTTTTTTTAGAGCGTTTCCTAGGTGGACTACAGGTGTTTACAACTTCATCGGCAGTATCTGTACTACTGGGCATTTTGCGCAAGCAGTTGATAACAATAACAATCAATAACAAGGTATAACAATAACAACGACAAACTCAACAACTTAATAAGATAACAAAGAAATATCAAATTGCAATGACGCACACGACATACGTAACACGTCTGACCTGAATGTGACTCTGCCTTGATACGACTGCTCTGCCGCTCGGCATAGGCATTTAATTGCGAATTGACCAATGAGGGCTCCTGTTTTACGTCGAGACGGCGGCGTTAGCGTGAAAATCACCCGAACCTTTTGTTTACATCCGGTCTATCTCTTATCTGAATATACTGTAGATATGCCGCGGTCATTCTGGTTGCATCGAAAACAAAAAAAGGACACCGAAAAATAGCATGAAAAGCTTCTATGAATATGGTTCCTTAGCGAGAAACAGTGTTGAACTTTTTAAAATCGAGAACACTATTTTTCTGAGGTTGCAGAAAAAATGAAGTCAATAATAATAATAATAATAATAATATTAATAGCTTTATTTTCCAACAGTTTCCCATTTATAGGACAATTTATAAACATAATACAAAAGCAAAAAAAAAGCGAAAAGAAGACAACAAATGCAACACCGGTATAAATTTGTAACATGATCTATTTCCGAATAAGCCTTATCTGCCTTTTGCAGGTAATTAACATTTGTCGTAAATATATCACAGTAACATCGAATTCTGTTTAAGTTAGAGCACATTACATATAACGGTGACTTGAGAAGAATGTTTGTCCTAGCTCTAGGAAGCCCGAATATTTTATGATTGCGAGATGCAAACGTTGGAGTACGAAACTTGATCTGTTCCAGGATAATGGGGCAATCAATTAAATTGTTGATCATTTTGTAGCCAAATATTATTGAGGCACAGTACCTACGTTTTTTCAAAGTCAACATGTCTAAGCGACTACATAGTTCCTCATTACTTACCTCTCTCAGGATATGTCCCATCAATCCTAAACAGAACAAGCTTCATAAACTTCCGTTGTACTCTTTCAATAGATGTGCTATAGCATTCATAGCAAGGGCTCCAAATAATACTACAATATTCGACTTTGGATCTAACATAAGCATAATAGACTTTATGTTATGAAAATTCCTGCAATTCCTTACTATGAAACCATAAGCCGCCAATGCTTCTGATGCTTTTTTATTTATATGCTGCCTAAAAGTTAACTTTTGATCATAGATTATACCTGAATCACGTACATCAGAGCATCTTTCTAGCACAGACCCATCAATAGAGTACAGATATTCGGAAACATTAATTTTCCTGGTATAGGTGACTATAGACTAGAATGATTCGATACCTCACAAAATTCAAAATTTTAAGTGAAAATCAATATGGATTTACAGAAGGGAAGGCTACATCGGACGCAATAACTAAAATTGTAAAACAAATACATCAAAATATTGATAACAGAATCCCTTCAATCTGCATTTTTGTTGATTTAAAGAAAGCTTTCGACACAGTTAATCACAAATTATTATTAGAAGCATTGGAGAGAATTGGTTTCAGAGGAAACGCGTACTCACTGATCGAAAGTTATTTGTCAAATCGCCCACAATCTGTGCAGATGTCAGGATCATTTAGTAAAGAAATGTATATTAAGTGTGGTGTCCCACAAGGAACTGTCTTAGGTCCGCTGTTATTCAATATATATTTAAATGATATTTTCCAAATTAATTGTGTTGGCAAAATAACTAGTTTTGCAGATGATACTGCAATATTATATGAAGGCACTGACTGGTCTGATCTGAAAAATGTAATTGAAAATGATTTTATCAAAATTATTCAGTGGTTTAACAGTAGAAAATTAAGCATTAAATACTCTAAAACACATTTTTTACCATTTGGATCTTATGCTAGACATCTGCCAAATTACACAAATTTCTCCTTCAATATAAATGATCAAAAAATGCAAATTAATAGAGTGCCCAACATAAGATACCTTGGAGTGGTCTTGGATCCTCACTTACGATGGGACATCCATGTCAATTATATTTTAAAGAAAGTTAGATTTGTATCCTACAAAATTAAATACCTTGGGAATATATTGACAGAAAAATATCTTCGAGCATTATACCATGCACTGATTGAGCCTCATCATGGTATATTAGCATGGGGAGCTGCATGTTCCTCACATATCTATAATTTAGATGTTTTTCAAAAAAGTATTCTAAAAATGATATTTAAAAAACCGAAACTTTATCCCACTGAAAAATTATACGCAGATG